TAGGTCTCTTATCTCTCCAACGTTGGATTCATATTCTCAAAAACCACCCATTCATTAATCATGTAGATGATTTTGGTCTATATAAATTTAGGTTAACATTCTTGATTACATTTAATTCCCCAATATATATATATATATATATATATATATATGAATTCGAAATGTAGGTTTATAATACACTCTAGCTGTTTGAATTTTGTGGAAGGGAGACATTATTGTGACTCCACAATAATGATTCCGCACTCCTCTCTAATGATAAAAATGACTGATGAAGGAGTGCATAATGACTATTTTGGAGTGCTAATAATATTGTACATTTGAGGTGCATTTTCATAAAGCTTAAAAGTGAATATTGATGAGTCTTTTCTATGTACCATGGATGATTTCTTCTCACTCTGATAATCTGATTAGGTTTCATTCATTGCAATTTGTAAGAGAGATCACTTATCAATAAGAATGTTTAGGCTTTTCATATGTTATTTAATTACCTGAAATAGGTACTGCATATGGATAGGAATGACTACTATGGAGGAGAGTCTACCTCACTTAATCTCAACCAGGTAAGTATCTTAATAATCTTTGGTAATTTTTTTGGCTACACAGTTTGGCATACTTTCTGGTGAGATGTTATAATGCATGTAACTTTTTTACGGCTTCGGTTTGTTTTCTATTTTTGGATTTTAGCTTTGGAAGCGATTCAGGGGAGAGGATAAGCCTCCAGAAACTTTGGGCTCGAGTAAAGACTACAATGTTGATATGATCCCCAAGGTAAAAAGAACGATGCATATATTTCTTATGGTTGTTCTTTGATTCCTGTTCTTAGTTTTACTTTCGCTTGCCCCCAATCTTTATATATAGGTGATGATCATGATGTAACATCTTCTGTGTTAATTAGCATGCTAATTTTAAGCCTGTCAATGATGTGATCTAGATATTCAGCAGCTCATCGGTTAGCAACAATCTCGTCTTTACCATATTCAATGTTTCTCAATGAAGAAACCTGTCTCAGGAATTTCATTTTGTTTCATTAGTCTGAACTGTTTTATTACATGAAGTCTGCTTAAAAGCTGACTATTTCTGACAAGTGATCTCTTAAAAGTACTGGGTCATTCGATTTGTTCAACGTGTTGTTCTGATAATTTGATTCTTTACAACCTCTGTGCATTTTTGACAGTTCATGATGGCCAATGGTGGTTTGGTTCGCGTCCTGATTCACACTAACGTTACTAAATATCTGAATTTCAAGGCTGTTGATGGTAGTTTTGTGTATAACAAAGGGAAGGTGTGATTCCTAACAAGTTCCAATTTCATTTAGTGCTTACTTATCTATCATCTAAACGACATATATGGAACGACTAACTTTGCTTCACCCTAATTTCGTTGTGATTGTGCATTATGTTTCCAGGTCCACAAAGTACCAGCTAATGATGTGGAAGCACTTAAATCTCCACTAATGGGATTATTTGAGAAACGACGAGCTCGCAAGTTTTTCATATATGTGCAAGACTATGATGAGAATGATCCAAAATCTCATGAAGGAATGGACCTCAACAAAGTTACAGCGCAGGAGCTTATTTCGTACTTCTTCCTCACATCCCAAATCTCATTAATTGTGCTATATGTTTAATTTCTACACGATGGAATTAGAATTTTTTGTTTCTGACATAGGAAGTACGGGCTAGATGACAATACAGTTGATTTCATTGGGCATGCACTAGCTCTCCACCGAGATGATAATTACTTAGCCGAGCCTGCTATGGCTTTTGTCAAGAGGATGAAGGTAACAAAGCATGAATTTTTTATTTAAAGATTGTTGGTGATTGATACTTATGACTATGAATAAGTTGCATACGTATTTTTAAGCTTCATGCCCAATCGAGTCCTATACATGTGCTAAATATGTTCTACGAGGCAATATATGGACAATGGCAGATTTTTCAAAAGCATTAAGTAGAAGTACCCTAGAAATTTTCTCAACCCAACTTTACAGTGTTCTATAATATACTCTACCTTCCTCCTCTCTGAAAGTTATATGCAGAGTCGCTAGCACGTTTTCAAGGAGGATCTCCATATATTTATCCCCTGTATGGTCTAGGAGAGCTCCCCCAGGTATGCTTTCAACCATTAGTTCTAGTATCACTTGAATATGCAACTTAGTTCCTCTGACTATATGCGCTATGAAATTTGCAGGCATTTGCTCGGTTGAGTGCTGTTTATGGCGGCACCTACATGCTCAGCAAGCCAGAATGCAAGGTCATTTTTTTTTTTTTCATGCATATCGAAAATTTAAACCCACGCTTTTTGTTCGTATTATCGATACTTGACTGATGTTGCACAATGGCAGGTAGAGTTTGAAAACAATAAGGCCATTGGTGTGACTTCCGAAGGAGAAACTGCAAAATGCAAAAAAGTTGTATGTGATCCTTCATATTTGCCTGACAAGGTAACGTTGAGAAAAAAATTTAATATCAGTAGGGTCATCCGGCATGAAAAGTTTTTTGAACTGATTTGAGTTCAAATCTCCATCTCGTGTAACAGGTGAAGAAGGTAGGGAAAGTTGCCCGTGCCATATGTATTATGAGTCATCCAATCCCAAACACCCAGGATTCTCACTCAGTCCAGGTTATTCTACCCCAGAAGCAACTTGGACGTAAATCTGATATGTAAGTTGCTACCTCGAATGCCATTAACACAAATTCAATCAATTATTCTCTAATAGTAAGTCCTTATTCAAGGACCTTTTGAAGGACACTTGATCTGTACAAACATATGCATTTCAACCCACACAACAAGGATTAAGTTAAATGAGTTATTGTTTGCAGTAAGTCGTTTTCATTTTGTGTCATTCCTCCATAGAACTCAAAGTCATTGAGAATCGGGTAACATGTAATGCATATATAAAATAAACAGAAGATGTGACGATGCCATACTCACGGTGCTTGCTAGAAGCCACATTGCAATTAGAATTAAATTACCATGAGAACGGTAAGACCTTGCAAATGAAGTTCTTTGACCGGATATGCCTCTGTTGCAGGTACTTGTTTTGCTGCTCCTACTCCCACAATGTAGCTCCAAAAGGGAAATACATTGCTTTTGTGTTAACAGAGGCAGAGACCGATAACCCCCAAGTGGAACTGAAGCCTGGAACAGATCTCCTTGGGGCTGTAGATGAAATCTTTTTTGACACTTACGACAGATACGAACCTACTAACCAGGATGCTGGGGACAATTGTTTCATATCCGCGGTGAGAATAAATGAATTCTTACATCTTCGTTTTGATTATTCGTAAGCTCATACATTTATACTTTAATTTGTACTCATGACAACTAATGGTGCTTAACTCGCAAACCCTAGTTTGACTTGCTTTCGACACAAAAGCCGGCCATAAGTTCGTTATAAAGCCGATTAATCCAAATAGTTGTCAATGTTACAATCTAGCCTGTCTGTATTTGAATTGATACTTTGAAGTCATTGTTCATTGGAGTTGGAATGCATTGCAGAGTTATGACGCAACGACGCACTTTGAGACTACTGTACAAGATGTGATTGCCATGTACAGCAAGATAACTGGAAAGGTAAATTTTCAAATCCATTTAGCCAACTCAAATAATTGAACATTGAGGATCAATCTAATCCCGCCCGTTAAACGAGGAATATAAATGTAGGACTTAATCAGCAGCTGCTTTATATACAAATCGGTCGAGGTTACATTTGAGCTCTTGCATTAGTACTCGAAGTTGATTTATCTTACTGCACCATGTTTTCAGGCCCTTGACTTGAGTGTGGATCTGAGTGCTGCTAGCGCTGCTGAAGAATGAAATTTCGGAACAAGAGCAACTAAAACATTGTAGTTCCCTTAATTTCCTCTTCTTCGTTTTTTTTATTTTTTCAAGTTCCAAGCTTATTCATAATCTGTTTCTGTTCTTATATATGTTGTATTCGTTAAACATGTTAATTAGCAGCTCCTTCTTTGCTTAAAAAGTTATTCCGCTCCGAACGGTGTAGATTAATTTGAACATTCTCAAAGGAGGATATAGAATTTTCGTTCTTCTGCTTCTGACACCAATACATGGCTCACATATATAATGGTTAAGGAAATTTTAGTTGTTTCCTGCTGCAATTTTACGTCTATTCAAGTTTAAAAGATAATTGATGACATACGTCGAGCATGTGTGCATGTGTGCATGTGATATGCTGACATGAAATTGGGACTGGCCCTGAGATTCAAGGGGTCCGAGGCGAGCCACTCAAAGGGGCCCTTGAATTCTCAGACCCTTAATGCGTTGTGAATTCATATTATTTTTTTATCCGCCATCAACGCATCAACAATACTGGTAGGATTTGGCTGTTCCTTTACCATCGCTTCAACAACACTGAAAGCAGAAGGATACCAGAACGCGAAAACTTTAGTAGAATCTAGGCTTGGTTGCCCTATTACCATAGAAACTTGAAACTTTTCCACCGGGCTCCGACATTGCCAATTCCATCGCATCCCTTCGGATTTCGTCCAATGCCTCCTTCAGAATACGTTTGCCACGAACGTTCACTATTGCAATTCGCAAGCCGGACTGTTTTTTCTTACAGAGATTTGCTGAATGAACAGATGTAGAGAGAGAGAAGTAATTTGGGATGTGTGAATATAATCTCTCTTGATATTATTTGTAATCTAATTTCGAAAATAGTTTCCTGTTTTTCACCAACTTGGAAATTACTTTTACTTTTCCTGTTTTATTCACCCTCCTCATTTTCCTTTTCTTTTCTTTTGGAAGTCCTTTTTCTTTTTTCACTTTCCTTGAGGAACAAGTTTCCTGCTTTTAACCGCGTAGCAGCAAATCTCTGTAAATACATCCACATATATTCCTGTTTTTAACTTTATGGTGACCTGAATCTTGGCTAAACAAGTTTATCGTGTTAAGATCGAATAATTTTTGTTCGGCGCTAACCAGGATGATTAGTTAGCCTCGTTAGTATGTTAAGAAATTCGTCAAAACAAAAATGATTCTGGCTGAAAACCTTTTTAAGAATAAAATTCCATCTTACAACAACCGTATGATTAATCATCATGAGAAATACATTGAAACTTTGTTGCTGTCTACTCCCCTTTGGCTTTTGCAAGAGCTTTCTTCCTCTGTCCAAGCATATACCCGTACATGTGAGGACTCCCTGCAACAGATAAATCCACCAGAAAATAAACAAAAACCGGCCAAATAGTTTTCAAGTGTGGTTAAATATGCCAGTGAAAGAGATGCGTACCTGGGACATAGATTCCTAGTGCAACAATTGCAGCATAGAAGTAATCGAAAGAGAAGTTCCACTTGTTTGGCATCCGTATAGAATACTTCTCAGAGTTCTGTGAATACAAGAACATAAGTGGTGAACATAAATAAACACTTTCAAAGACTACGCTATACGCTCTTTGTAGCTGCTGTGGACAAGTAGAAGATGATGTGCAAAGTTGCATGTATTAGATGAGTAATAAATGACTAGCACACCTAACTTGCAAAACCCAGAAAACCACTCCTTTTGGAACACCCTCCTCAACAAAAAAGCAAAGAAAGTTTTTGCTTTTATGAATCATATAATTTGATACCTTAATGTGTGGCAGGGCAATATATATTAGACCAACTTCACTTGTGATGCCAGTTGGATACAACAAGATGAAGGTGCTATACCTGCATGGCATTGAATACAAAATAATGACGAATGAATGAATCGCAGGACTAAAACTACTTCCCGTCACATCCAATGATCACAAAACTGATGAACTACCTCAGCCACAAGAGCCATGAAGGTGCAAAACCAAGTGCCTCCTTCATACCAAAGAAAGAGTATCGAATAATCTGCAATTACAAACAAATGAATCTGAATTTGTTCACTCCTACAACTGAAAAAAAGCCAACATGATTGCAATCAGCATCAGGATGCAAGTATTAATGCAATGAACATCAGATGGCAGCATGAATTTAACTGGCTTCACAAGTGAAATTAGTCTAATATATATCGCACTTTAAACCCTAAGACGGCAGCATGTATTAATGCAATCAACGCCTGGTTTCAGTATGTATTACCTTAAGTTAGGAATTTGGAAAGTGTTTTGGAAAGTTAAACAAAGAAGCAATTGTCTGAGAATTTTCAAATATTCTGTATAAACCCAACTTGTTATAAACGCCAGCTATGACATACAAATTTTAAATTAGAAATTAGAAATTTCCGTCCAGAAATTTTTTGAGCCTTAGCATATGAGGTTTCTAAGGTAATTTGGGAGCAGAAAACATACATACTGAATTGCTCTTATTACATGCTTTCGAAGCAAAAGTTCAAGACAAACTTTAGACAAAAATTTCTTTCGTTCTTAAAGCAACAAACTAGGATTTACTAAAATCATTTCATCAAGCTAAAAGCCTAGATATTAAAAGGTCCTTTCATACACAATCTAAACCAAAATGCCAAGTCTTACAATTCCACAATAAAATTCCTTTTGTCCACAATCTGATAAGAGACATCACACTCAGATAAAACAAATCAATACAAACTTGGTCATGCCATTTTATCAGACAAAATCAGATTGCGAGATCCATGGTTTAGAACAATACTTAATGACCCAGATTGCTTAAGGCACCAAAAATTTGAAAACAAAAGTGCATATACTTGCAATAATAACACTTTTACACAGATGCAAACACAGAAGAGAGCAAAAAGCGCAAGAAATGAAGATCGGATAACACTTGCCTCAGTGATAGACCAGCTGATGACCAAAGAGCTAACAAGCATATGACTCCGAGTCTACAACAATAAGCTTCATCTTGTTACTTAAATATCCAAAAGAAATGAACTTTCATGTATAATAAAATGCTACTAAAAATTTAAACCCCAAACTTTGTATTTGCATTCGAACCTCAGGAAAACTCCACAGGATTCCCCATGTCAGATACAATCTCGAACCGATTTGCGGCAGTGTTGCTGTTATTGGAGATCTCACCAAACCTGCATCAAATGCAATCCCATATGAGAACTAATAATTAACAAAACCCACAAAATATAATTTAATCAGCTGAATTTTAACATATAAACAAAGGAAACTAAGGTACTCACCCACTAGCCCATGAAGAATCTGTTGCTCCATCCCAGCATTTCAAAACCCAATTCAAAGAATAACCCAAGAAAAATGAAACGTGAAAATACATTCTCCAATATTCAAAAAATAAATAGTAAGCAAATGGAGGGAGTAGTAGAAGTAGAACCTCCAAAACGGCAGCGGATTGGGCAAGAAGCAGAGGGCGTTCGACGGCACTGTAGACATGTTGGTGGCCGGATTCATTGAGAGTCTTGAGAGCAAGATACAGTACCTGAAACCTGAAACACAAATCGAATCCAGTTGGGAGAGAGAGAGAGAGAGAGAGAGAGAGAGAGAGAGTGGGGATTGGGTACCATCCGAGGAAGACAGTCCAGTTGTAGAGGGAAAGGTATAGGCGCCTGAGAGCCGATAATACTACCGCCATGACTGATGTCTAAGGCAGATCTACGAGCCTAGACAGCAATTATAGAGAGCGAGAGAACGATGGGAAGAAGAATAATAATAAATGAGGAGTAAAGGGCATGTAGGTGAGTAGCTCAACGCTTCAACCAATTAGTAGGCTGACGCCTGAAATTTTTCTTTGCTCTGTTTTTTGTATTTCCGAACTTCCAACACCCAACGCTTTCAATTTTGTTTCATTAATAAAAATACCAAAACTCATTAAGACCATCTCCAATGATTGGGCTAAAAGCTAAATATTTTAGCCCGAAAAATTTAGCTTTTAGCCCAAAAATAACTTTTCTGCTCCAACCGTTTTAACCTAAAATTTTAGCCCAGGATTATTAAAGAATGAACTTAGGCTATTTTTTTGGTTAAATTAAATTTTTTTTTTAAATAAATATGTAGACTATCGTAAATTAATTTTATGAACATTTTAATCAAAAAATATTTAAATTCCGATAAATATTGGGTGAAGTCCACTCCGATTTTTGGGCTAAATTTTGGGGGGAATTTGGCCTTGGTTTAGCATTTAGCATTTAGCCCAAATTTTTCCCTTGGGTTGGAGTGGGTTTGGGGGGTAATTTGACTTTTAGCCCACTATTGGAGTTGGTCTAATAGGTCAATGTTACTGCTTTCATCATAATAACCCATTTTAGGACTAATCTGCAATTGCTGTGTTTTTTTCAAAACTGTTTTTATTGTGATGTGAGAAGAAACATTTGTGAACTAAAGCAATTAAGTGTTTGGTAAATTATAATTGTAAAAGTGCTTTTAGCAAAAAAAAAAAAAAAAACAAGACTAATTTGACCAAGTCCTTATGGAGGTGGAATGTGAAAGAATTAAGTTTAGATGCAACTCGTATGAGTCCTTAGTGAACTGAAATTGCTAAGGATCAAACTGAGCTCTATTTAAATGCAAATCTTTCTAAGAATTAGAATTCATTCTTGATTTGATAAGGATGAAATAAGTGTATAGAAGGGCTAGGTTCAGATCATGGTTCAAATCAAAGAAGCCGAGGCTGGATACAATTTGGGTTTCGACTAAGAAAGGGAATGGGAGAATATTCAGTTAAATGGAGCAAACAAAGTCCTATCAAGACTCTACGTTAGCAAGCCTATTTTATCACAATATCATTCCCTACTAATATAAGAGGTTCTGCAACATAGAAAAGACCTTCAACTCAATAAATAGCTCAAAATGCTCTACGCGAAGCCCTTCTCATAATGCTAAGAAAAATACTATCCTAACCCTCTTGTCAACACATTTTCAATTTGGATAAGTAAACATCACTGTGTTGGCAACCGGTGACATCCTCAGTTTGAATATGTAAACAACACTAGAGTTGTATAACCAATAGATTCAGCAACACCTCAGTTTGGATAAGTAAAATAGCATTGCTTTTAGTCGGTTGGTTATCTATCCAACTCTACACAGGCAAAGAATTCTTAATTTTCTTGCCCAAAGAGGTCACTTCACCAGCTTCCCAGCAAAGTGAAGTGTTATATGATTGGTCACTCTCATATGCATTTTGCAGTTCGGCATTTAGATGGTTGAACCACGTTTACTATAAAAAACGGCATCTTCTTTAAGTATCTTTGCCTTGCAGTCTGATACCGATTCGACGCATCTATATTCTTACAAATATAGTCAAGGCAACAGAACTCGGTGTAAAAGATTCTGAACTTCGCAGTGAATTAGGCAACCTTGTCTCCTAGAACTCACGGCCAAGACGCGTTCCTCGGACGTAGTTGTTCTACTACAGAAGTTAGCAGCGCATTCAACACCACCACCACATCTGCTGTACTCACTCGATCGAGCTCTGTTGTTAGTTGGCACACTCGCATTCACAAGAATGACGTGATTAGCTAATATAGTTACTTGGCATTTGTGCCACATAGGCTTTGTAATTGTTTAATAACTAATTGTAATGATTCTCTTATTTTAGATGGACATGGTTAGAGCAGTTCCACCGTGGTGTATTACCCGATAGACTGGGGGTGGAACAAGGCCAAATAGGTCAGGGGATAAGGTCCAGTGTATGCTAGCCCGAGGGACAGGCCAGGCCCGAGCGACAAGCCCGGCAGGGATTGCCAGCTCGAGAGCTCGAAGGTAACCTGCCCAAACGTCAGGCACGTGCGTTTCCAGCGCGCTTCTTCCGACGCAAAATCAAGGCTAGGGCCCACAATGTTTTTTCTGCGATGTTACTATTGGGGAGGCCACGTGGCTTCTCCATGTCCGTTGGATTTCAACGGCTATATTTTATGGTCCGTTGGATTTCAACGGCTATATTTTATGTACCGTTGGATTTCGAACGATAAAAAAAAAAAATTAAAAGCCTCATTTAATTTCAACCGTTGGATTTGAGATCAATGGTCCACATTATTAGGCTTTGTAAATTAAAAAAGAAAAACAATTTAAAATTCTAAAGTGTTACCGTTGTGCCACATGACACAATCTAGAGTGTTGGAATTCAAATTTTTTTAAATCCAACGGCAGAGATTAATTAGGTGAATAAAAAAAATTAAAAAATGTAAAAAATTAATAAAAATCTGAAGAAAAAAAATATGAAAAATTAAAAAAGAAAATTGATTTTACTTTTCTCTAAATACTTTCTCATTATCTTTTACCTTACACCACAATTTCATATTTTCTCAACTACTTTCAACCACATTCCTATCTTTCTCTCAAAGTTTCAATCCAATTTTTTTCCAACAAAATGACTACTGATGCAGGTACGAATTGGATGCTTTTTGAAGATGTTGCATTGTGTACTAGCTGGGTTGAAGTTACTCATGATCCGATTACGGGTAATAAGATGCAGTTGCGAGAAATGTGAGGTCTTATTCATATCAGTTTTCTTGAGAAAATTGGTGGGAAAAGAACCAAAGAATCGATGTCCAGTCGTTACTTAGCCAATCGTTTTGTACATGGAGAGACGCCTTGGCACAAGCTAGTACTAATCTTCGAAGTGGGGAAAATTTAGCGGATCAGGTAACAATATATTATTTATTTGTTTGTACTATACCCAAATTTACATTATAATTATTTGTTAGCTACTTTGATTATAATTATTTATTTGTTACCTATTTCAAGCACAAGCTTGGTATAATGTCAAAACCAAAAGCAAAAACAAATCATTCAACTGGTGGGAATGTTGGAATATTGTTAAAGATTGTCCTAAATTCAAAGTTGTGCATGTCGGTCCAGAAGTTTTCATAAACAGCACCCCTCTACACTCTACACCTGATCATGCCCCGCATGTTCATGAAGATGACACAGAAGAAGTGCCCAAAATGCCCCCCTGAACAAGTATCGGGGTTGACCCATTATCCAATTAGGCCTCAAGGTAAGAAAGCTTCAAAGAGAAAAGGGAGTGCTTCCAAAAATGATTATGCAAAGTATATGGAAGAACTTGCTCGCCAAGGTGAATTGACTTTGGCACGGGAAATGGCAAAATTTGAGACTGATAAGGCTAGAGATGAGGCAAAAGCTACAGTTATTGAGAGAGAAAGAGAGCTACTTAGACAAGAAAGGGAACATGCTAAAGAAGAAAGAATAGCACAACGAGATCGTGACTTTATGAACACGTCTTTAGAAGGGAAGTCTCCAAATTCTAAATATTTTTGGACCTCAGAGAAAGCGGACGTAGTGCGAAGGAGGCGTGCAAAAGAAGTGAGAGCAAGAGGAGATGGTCCTAGCGTGACAAGAGAAGATCATCCTAGCACCACAAATTGGTTAAGTGATGATGAATAGAGTACTTTTTGTAATCGGCGCCCATAATTTTTCAATCACTTTGGATTGTAATTTATTATTTATTGAATAGAGTACTTTATGTTGTTTCGAATTTATTGAATTTAGTACTTTATTTAAAGTGAGAGTAAATTTATTTAATTTGGTAATTTATTTTTACTAAGAGAATCTTTATTCAAATGACATAAACACACCAAATAAAATTAAATAAACAAACCAAATAAAAACAAACACACTAAATGAACTAAAAAAAAAACACACCAAATAAAAACAAACACACTAAATGAACTTAAGTATCTTGAGCTTGTTTCAATTCCCACTGGTGCTCTATCAAGTCAATTTGCCGGGCACTGTGCATATATGGCCTTTGAAGTGCAGTATATCATTGAATGAGCCTTTTATTGTAACATTCATCCCTTTCTAATGGCTCATGTTGCACGGGTTCTTCAGTGGCGTCATGAGCACAATATATTTGTGTTCTGGAATTGTTCATCGTGTCTAGCTCATATTCATCAACAGCATCATAATCGTATTCATCTTCCACAATCATGTTGTGAAGAATGATGCACATCATCATGATGGATCAAAGCGACTCTACATCAAACATTCTGGCAGCACCCTTGACAATCGCCCATCGAGCTTGGAGGATACGAAAACAACACTCCATATCCTTCCTGCACCCCACTTGATAACTTGCAAAGTGTTTTTCCTTTGCATTTCGCCGACGTGGCACTGTTTTGACAAACGATGACCACCTTGGGTAAGTGTCGTCTGCTACGTAGTATGACCCGTTGTATTTACGTCTGTTGACCCAGTATGTAACTTTTGGTGCCTTTCCTTGCAGGACATCATTAACACTGGGGATTGGATAAGGACATTGAGGTCATTTTGAGCTCCCAGAACCCCGAAAAATGTGTGCCAAATCCATGTATCAAAAGATGCCACCACATCCAAAATGATACTTTTTCTTCTTTTTTTGTCCTCATAAGTGCCTTGTCATGCACTTGGATAGTTTTTGCAAGTCCAGTGTATACAATTGATGCTTCTAATCATCCCAGGAAAACCTCGCATCTCACCGTTCTTCAAAAACCTTTGTAAGTCCATGTTAGTAGCTCTTTGGAGGTACTCTGTGGTGTAGATAGATTCGATTGCTCCGTAAAACCTCATCAGAGACTCAAGAATGGTTGATTTCCCCATCCTCACTATCTCATCCACTTGGTCTACAAATGCTCCATATGCAAGCATCTGCAAGGCAGCAGTAATTTTTTGCTCAGGAATAAGACTTATAGCACCAAAAGCATCATTCTTTTTCACAAAGTAAGAA